TATATATATATTCATCACACATATATACATATATATATATTCATCACACATATATACATATATATATATTCATCACACATATATGAATGTATATAAACATATACATATGTAAGTAATATGTACATAAATATATATATATACACATATATGAACATGCATTGTACATATACACATACACATTTCCTGCATTTCCTCCTGGAACGGACACAGGCGACCTGCTCTACTATCCCTCTTGGTACTTGTAGACCCTAAGTCACCGTCTGCTATTAAAGGAAACTGCGGCACAAGAGGACAAGCTTTTTTTTTTTTTTGGGGGGGGGGTTGGGAGGGGGGACGGCAGACAGATCAGCTCCTCGTCCTCGACCCTAAGGACACGAGAGTCTCTTGGGGTCTCACATCTACCCTCAACAACAAACCTGCAAGCTTAGGACCCCTTTCATTCTCCTATGCCAAGGTTACTATCTCGATATCAGAAGCTCTCTCACTCATATATGCTTATATATATGTATAAATATATACATATATATAGATTAATAAGTATATGTATAATTCCATTTTTGCACATATGTAAACATATCTAAATATATATCTATATAAATATATAAATAAAAACACAAATCACACACATACATGTTTATATATAATATATGTATGTATGTTTGTGTATAAATATACACACACATCACACATATACACTTATATTATATATATTTATATATATAAATATATATATATATTATATATTAGTGTGTACATGTGTGATGTGTGTGTAAATATATGTATATATATATACAAAAATATAAATATACATACACCTATTAATCTATATTTATATATATATTTACATAAATATGTGTATATATATATATATATAGATAGATAGATAGATAGATAGATACATATTATATATATATGTAGTTATACATTCTATATATACACATGTACCTGTATATTTTTACAGAGAGATACCTATATAATTTTCCATATATATACAAATATATATGTGTGTGGTCATATACAGATATGTATGTATATGTAGATCTTTCATTGGAAATAATATACATATATTATTACATATAACTTATACTACAAGCGTGATTGTTGATATATATATATCTATATCTATATATATATATATATATATATATATATATATATATATATATATATTTATATATATATATATATAAGCAGAAAGCATATAATAATAATAAGCATATAATAAAAGCATATAATAAATAATAATATAAGCATAATAATAAGCATATAATAATATAAGCATATATATGAATGAATGTATGAATATATACTGTGTGTATGTATATATGAATGTATATGCATATGTATAAAAGTGTATATAGATACATATATATATATAAAAGTGTATATTCATATATATATATAAAAGTTTACATCTGTTAAAAGAAATAAAATTACATCGCATTCTACATATATAGAAGTGTATATACATACATATATACAAAAGTGTATACACATACATATATATAGAAGTGTATACACATACATACATATATATATAAAAGTATATATACATACATGTATATAGAAGTGTATATACATACATATATATTATAGTGTATATACATACATATATATAGAAGTGTATATACATACATATATATTATAGTGTACATACATACATATATATATAGAAGTGTATATACATATATATATATAAACGTGTATAAACACACATATATATAAAAGTGTATATATAAAAGTTTACATACTCATCCTTAAAAAAAAAAAAAAGAAGTTTACATCACACTCCACATATATATAGAAGATTGTTCCTCCAACAAAGACAGTTCTGCGCAGACAGAGTTGTGTCAATAACTGTCAATAGTTGTGTCAATGACCAGCCTGTTTTCTGCTTCTCATCAAAAGGGGTTTTTATGCCAACAGGTGACTGCCTGTCATAGATGAACAATTAAATGCTATTAGATTAAACATTCAACATATAGATTAAATAGATTAAACATTAAACATAGAGATTAAATAGATTAAACACATAGATTAAACATTAAACATATAGATTAAATAGATTAAACATTAAACATAGAGATTAAATAGATTAAACACATAGATTAAACATTAAACATATAGATTAAACATTAAACATATATTAAAAATAGATTAAACATTAAACATATGGATTAAATAGATTAAACATTAAACATATAG